TTCCTCATGACGGACAGCTTTATGACAGCTAACCAAGCGCCTGGGGGCTTGCAAACAAGCCAAGGCGACTCATTGTCCTGCATACAGTAATGAGATAAAGAAGTTAAGATGCAAACATCTGCTTCCATTGAGCAATCATCTGGAAGGAATGAAAATGTGTTTTCCTCAAGGTGCCCAAGGTAGTCACGTACCAGGAAGTAACTGCCAGACATAGAAAAAGTATATAATAAAATGACTGGTGGAATCGACCACTGCAGACTTGTACGTCTTGTGTGTGTCTGTGTGTTTCTTTCTGTGTCCATCTCCCATTCTGCAATTGGGCCGCAACATGGGGGAATACTAGTAGTTCATTGTAACACCCACTGCTAGGGTTCCCAGATTTAGCAAATAAAAAACAACAAACAAAATATTGCATGGGACGTACTCCACCAAAAAGTTATTTATTGTTTATCTAAAATTCAAATTTAGCTCGGCATCCTATGTTTTATATGGAAACACTATCCACAACACATGTATTAAAGGACAAGTAAAAGAAATAATTTTAAGGATATTAATGTCTTTCTCCCTTTGGAATCTTATACTTTAGATAGTATTGATCTCACACTGACATGGGAGATCAAAATAGGAAATGGTTAACCTCAACAATTTTTGCTTTGCTCAGAATCCTGAGATTATCTAATTATACGGATTCAATGCCCTTCACTATGTTTTACCATAGGAAGCAAAAGTAGGCTTAGAAAGAACATTGTAGCAATATTAAGGAGGCTGGATTACAGGGAAGACGCAGTACATAGTACATAGAAGAGAAAAAGAACTAGAGCAGTGGCAGTGGGAATGGAAGGCGGGGGGATGAGAAGAGACACCACTGAGATAGAGTCAAAGAATTTACTGACTGCATGATGTACAAAAATAGGAAGTGAACAGAATCTAATAAAATTATTTTCTTTTGATTTTAGGTAGTAGAAGAAGACATAAAAATGGTACAAGATATTAATATATGTAAAACAAAAAAGAAATAAGTTTGGAGGGAGAAAATTAAACACTTCACATATCAGTCATCAGAATGTACAATATATATGAATAAATTAACTAATATATTACATCAAGCTGTTGTTATTGAGCAGGTGATCATTTTCCATTAAATATATTGCACCTGAGATTTTATAGCTATTTTTAACCACCTGCCATTTCTACAAGCTGTACTCAGGATGTTAAATTATACCTGTAATTTTATTAGCTAACTATATACACAAAAATCCTGAGATTTTCAAAATTAAAATCTTAATTGAAAGAAGAGTTTATATTTTAAAAATGTGTTTGTCTACAATAGCAATTCCCAACTCTGTTTTATTTAAAATATTTATCGTTTATTATCTATCGTACTAAAGAAGCTCTTACAAAGTAGTTCTGTTCTTTTCCTTTAATTGCACAAAAGGAGAATGCTATGGTTTCACTTTGTCTCCCAAAAAGCACGAGTTGTAAACTTAATCCCCAACGCAACAGAGTTGGGAGATGGGGCCTAATGGGTAGTGGTTAGGTCGTGAGGGCCCCACTCTCATGAATGGATTAATACGGATTATAAAAGGGCTTGAGGCTCTGCATTCCATCATTCCATCTCTCTCAACCTCTCACCCTTCCTCCTACCACCATGGGATGATGACACAGCACAAAGGTCCTTGCCTTATACGGGCCCCTGGATCTTGGACTTCCCAGTCTCCAAAACTGTGAGAAATAAATTTCTTTTCTTTATAAATTATCCAGTCTGTGGTATTCTGTTATAGCAGCACAAAACAGAAGAGGAATTACCACCACCATTACCTCAGTATGCTACCCTTCTCACTGGTGCTCTCCCACTTACTCATTTGATATTCTGTTGCCAGCTGATTCTTCCTGAACCATGACACCCATCACATTGCCCTTGCATTGTTCTCTAATTCTGGGTAATCAATCCAGAACCACTAACAGATCTATTAAATCATTGTGTGCATCACAGCAGAACCCTCCATAGCATCCTTAAATGGTAGATTGCTTATCTATTTAGTATGGGCTTGGGGCAGAACAAATATTAGAAAGTCAATATAAATAGTTTTATTTCTATTTTCCTTTAAAATTCTCAAATGCGATATTACCTATGCATTCTATGGTTAATTTCAATTACCAACGACTTAGCCACAATTATTAGCTTCTGGGGTTAAAATACCAACTATTGACATCAGTAAATAGAACAAAATCTGGTTAATACAATTGTGTCCTACCAATCAGAAATATCTTTTAATAAGCATTGTACACCATCACCTATATTTGCTAAC